ATAATTTACATTTATTTATTAGCATTAAGTTGATTTTAAATGATTTCAAATCGCTTAAATTAAAATGATTATTCAATGTTTTATTCAAATAACAAATTTTTATACGTTTTTATTTTAATGATTTGTTTGGTTTAATAGTTTACGACAGGGGTGACGAACCTTTACGTAACAGTGTGCTATTTTTCTAAAATATTATTTAAAAAAGTTATATGTGCCATTCGAACATTTCATAGAGTACCATTCAAATTATCTCATACCTACTTTACAATTAGCGTGCCGTTGGTTCTCAATCCCTGGTCTAGCGTAGATGACGCCAAACACATCACAGAGAAAAATATTTAAAACATTACAAAAATGCATTTAAGACACGATGAATTTAAATCACTGTTATACAATACTTGGGACTTCACATGAAATTAGGTGAAATAAACTATAAAAAAATTTCAAAACATTTCATTCGATTCATAGTTTAAAGAACTGTTTCTACTACATGTGTGGTCTTAGAGAATTGAGGTCAACACGAACGGAGTGTTGGATTGGAGTGGATTTAATTAATGACATTATATCTTTAATAACTCTCACTCAGTCGAAATAAAAGAAACTAAGAAAATATTTTCATTTATCCTCTTAAAAATTCGTAGAGTATTTTATTTGTCAGCTTTGATGTTTAGCTTTTAATTTAAATAAATGTTATTTAAATATTTGCTAGTCAATCTGGGTGGTCTTCTAAAATGTAAGGAATATTTTATTCACTATTTGTTTGATTTCATAATTTTATGTTTTTTTTTTGTAATTATTTCCTCCATGGTAACTAACGGTTGACTTTGATAGCAAGTATAGATAAAAGCCAATGCCTGTGGTTTAAAATAAGGTCTAGATCAGTTGAAACGTTGAAATTAGAAGACTGTACTGAAATAGTTCTTTCTAGGTACGAACATTTTGGTCTACCAATCGGCAATGGCAATGACAATGACTTTGTGCATTTCTAATGTTTTAAAAAGGTTTAGTTTTGTGCTGTTTTTATATAATCTTACTTCTTACTAACATTATAAATACGAATTTTTAGCTGGATGGATGGATATTTGTTTGAAGGTATCTCCGGAACGGCTCAACTGGATTTCATGAAATTTGGCACACATGTAGAACATAGTCTTCAAGAACACATAGGCATACTTATTAAGTTTTTTTTAATGCCGCGCGGACGAAATCGCGGGCGATAGCTGGTTTTATATATAAAAGTAATTATTATTCTGTTTTATATTTAAGTAGTTTTTTTAATAAATAAAAAGAAATGAGCAAAGTTTTTAATTATAATGAGAAATATAGCACCCATATGGTTGTATAATTAGTTTATAAAGCTGTACTCTTTCACACTGGCGCTTCGCCAACTGAATTTGAAACCTCGAGAAGTAAACGAAGTTTGTATAAAAGTTTTTTATTATAATGCGGGTCCGCTATTGTTGTGCTGAGGATCGTAAAAATATCAAACGGTTAATAGATAATAAAAGCTTTAAACACGATTTAATATATTTTACATACCAATGCTTGATATCCTTAAGCAAGCCTAAGGATATTAAATATAACAGTAACATATAACAACAAGATATCCAGGAACAAACGAAGATCAGAATTTTATTTGTGATTAGCAAATAATCGATTTTAATTAATTAATTCCTGTTTGTATTAAACATGTATTGCTTGTATATTCTAAGTTGTATATTAGCAAACCGTAACATCAACAACTTTCCCCAACACGATCCCGGACCCCGCCCTAAACAAGTCTCGCCGAGTATTACAACGTCGCTGCAACGCCAAGTTTCGCAATACTGCATCTTTTGTATTTGCATATTCTTAGCTTATAATCATTTTTTCGTCAGTTTTAATTAAGTAATGTACGTCACTATGAAGATTAATGGCCTTAGCTCGGTCACGTTTAAGTATAAAAGGTGAATATGAATTTAAAATTCGAACATCTACATTCTTTCTACGCACTCACATGGATAGGATATAAACAGTGGGATCATGTGCCTATTTGATTTTCGCCATTGTGGCGAATCAAACTAATTATAGAGATAGAATTAAGTCTTAGGAACTTCAGCGGGCGCGTTTAAGTCGCAAAGAAGCAAAGGCATATCATTTCTAAGCAATGGCCTATCAATTTATAGAGATCAGTGTCTCGACTCATACATTGTGACGTCATTTGTGGCATCGCGATATGTCTCCTATCCTTATAAGTATGACAGACGTCCCCGATTCACCACAGAGGATGTATTAATTTAAGCTCGCCCAAAGTGGTTGGAGATTAGCAAGGAAATGTCAATATGTTAGTGTGAAATATATCGTAGAGCGTCCGACTCGTGAATTGAATAGATAATTGGGTCCGTTTTATTGATGCGATGTTTATTGAATAATAAAATTTATAATCTGTTCCGCTATTTTATTAACGGTCAGTCTTGTTGTCTGCGAAGTTTTTAAAAATAAACTCAACTACTGATCCATTCTTTTCCGTTAGCAATTTTGAAAACTTTGTCTATGGTTGTCTGTATGCATAGTCTATTGCTGAAGTCTATGATTATGATAAAGAGATAAAAAATTGATGATAAAAGAGGAGAAAGACAATAGAAGCGTTTGTTATTTAAAACTAAGAAGGACTAGGACTACAGGAATTTCGGTGTGAAATATTCATAGACAACTCATAATCGACTTGCTTGTATCTTTGTACATGTACATGATTTAAATAAATGATTTTGGTTTGTGCCCTAAAGGAAACAACAATGTTAGGTAACGCTTATTTGTATTTGGGGCACATGTTCTACGAGTTTACCAGGAGTTAATTAGGCTCAAATTTGTTTACGAATTATATTTTGATACGTTCTTGGAACTTAAGGGTTTTATTAATAACTCATTGTTCTAAGAGATTTTCGCATTACAAAGTGAGTTGTGGAGTGTTTGAACATTTTAGCACGTACTTTATCCAAAGCGGTAAAGTCTAAATATATAATTGTACTTCGCTTATTTTTAGTACAACATGTTAAGATTTTATTTGGTATTGTTAAAAAAGTGAAAGCACTTTTTTATTGAGCTAATTGGAAATTCGGTAAAACAAATCATACTGTAGATAGAAATTTTGAATTTATTTTTCTTTGTCAATCTTTGCTGATGTCAAAAAAGCATTATTAAAATTGAATCGTTAAGTTTTTATAACGTCATTCAAATATTAATCTCAAGTTAAATGTCTACCTGACTAACATTTGACAAATCATCCAGCCATTCGTAACTTACTTCGTAACAATAACTTTAAGAAAAAACTCTACACGTCTTGATAACATCTTATTCTGAAAGGTGTTTGACGAAGGACAACAATAACTCAAATTTGAAAGCGTTATTAATTTTTTTTTCGTAATATTAAAAGTTTTAATGGCCACACTAACCATAAGTTTTTGAGACTAAAATCTTTGTTTGAAACATATCGTCATCCTTGTCATAATCTGTGACAAAACAGAGACAACAGTATGTTTTAAACAGAGATTTTTGTCTCAGAAACTCACGGTTAAATGATACTTTGCCTAATAATTATATTTGTCACGAATCGTGCACAGTAAGATATGAAACTGATCACGTATCAGTATGTTTCCATTGCCTTAACATCTGTATAAAAATATATTACCATCTCTGTTTTCCAAAGAGAGTGACAAGGATACCAATATTTTGTTTTACTTAAGTTTCTGCAGTAGATTCCAACGGTAAGACCTATTAAATCGTGATACATTTAAATAAGATACCGCATTGACCAATCTTTCTTTTGTTTACAGTATTTTATACCCGTTTTGTGGTTCCTGAATGTATAAAACAGATCTAAATGAGTTGCGTATTTTAAAATGCGCATTAGAGGGGCCGGCGTCGGTCGAAGTCCGGAAGTCGAGTCTCAATTTAACCCGACGCAGTCCACTTCACAAATATTAGTTGACTGGAACTGTTAGTTATGACTTCTTTTTATTTTTTTCTGGTTTTACATGAACTAATGTTTTATCCCATGATGACAATATACAGATGTCTACTGGCAGTGGTAATTTGGCTATTTTAGCGATTTTAGATGGCCGCTTGCACGTTCTTCTCTGGTAAAAAAAAATATCTTACTAATATTATAAATGTTTGGTTGGATCGATGAATGTTTGTAAGTGTCTCTTCGAAATTTGGCATAGATGTGGAACATAGCCTGGACCAACACATGCTTACTTATTAAGTTTTTAAATGATCGTGGACGGAGTCGCGGGCGACTGCTAGTAGTACAATAAATTTGGTTCTTAATAAGTCAATAATAAATTAGGTAAGTACAGTTGATAAATCCTTAAATAGAATAAGATATGTTTTTCGTAAATACTTGGGGCAGTATCAGTTGATCCGTACATAATAGGCCTTTATCCCTATTATGGCGAACACGAGAGCAAAAGGGTTGTACTCTGAAAGGGTTAATATCGATTTTTTCCGTATCCTATTACTCATGTGATTAAAGGCTGAATAAGTATTCTTGTGACTTTATTCAAATTAAAAAAAAAACATATTTCATCAGCTCATTATACTGTCTCCACTGTGGGGTTCGGAGCCTACTAAGATAGGGGTGGCTAGGTCATATTCAACCATGCTGGCAAAGTGCGAGTTGGTTGACTTCATACATATCTTTGAATTTATTCGCAGAAACCGTAACCGGCAGAAAATTGAAAAACGGAGTTAGGTCACTTTCAAAATAAACGGCTCATTTGCAGGTTGTATCACGATGTTTTACTTCATCGTACATCGTCGGAAAAATTTACATGTAACTATGTATAAATAGAACGAATATTAGATTCTTATTTAAATAATTCGTAATAAGGGAAAATAAATTGTAAATGTTTTTGTGATATAGTGGTTGTTATTTATTGTTAAAATCCTTAATTTTATTTTATACAGTATGTGCTTTTTTGTAAATTATTTTATTTTTGTAATATTTTTTTTTATTCCAGTTACAATGGGTCCTGTGTTAATACTACAGATATTTCTGGGCGTCCTTGCACCGGCTTTTGCTAGTGAGTATACCATTATATATTTTTAATCATGATTTTAAAACACTTAAAACGCATGTACAAAGAAATTGAAATCGATTTTCTAATCATTTAAATACTAAAATTCTCAATAGATTTTGTTAATCTCCCTATAGATTACTTTAATGAAATAAAATTTAAAAACCAAATTATCTCATACATATTTAAACTTAACTTTTTAATCTTTGATACGTTACTTAATTCTAGAATAAAACAACTTTTTCAAAATATAATTACGAATCGTATAAATAATTCTAACATCATTATGAGACTTTTAAAGCACAGTTATTTAAGTTTAATTGCAATCTGTATCCTTTATTATCAACATTTTTAATCCGAACAAAATTGAAATTGTCTCTTTCTTTTAAAACCGGTATTGTATAACCTGTCTGTAACAACATTTCCATGAAATTCTTTATCCAATACGGGTTTTGTACAGAGTAAGCCGGAAAGCTTTCCTATGTACGCAGTAATGTATTAAGTGTGAATTAGTATGTTCATGATTTGTTTGTTGCTGTGGCCCCGACTTGCAGCGGATACGACAGGTAGCCCACTCACACATTGAAAAGGGCTTTTATTGTTGGTCAACACAAAAAAACGGTCTAATACAGTAGCGTGAGTTCGGAGATGGACTACGGATAAGGTTCCGGGGATTTAAAATTGAATTTTGTAATACTGATTTAAATTTTGTTAATAATTTTTAACTTTTAATGATATAAGTGCATTAACATGTTAATGTATGTATAATACACGCGGGTTTCATCTTAATAATATTATAAATGCGATTATTTGATAGAAGGCATCTCCAGAATGGCTGCATGAATCTCTCTGAAATTTAAAATAGATGTAGAACTGTGTGGTAGAACACATAGGCTACTAATTAAGTACTCTTTTCAATTCCGCGCGGACGGTATCGCGGGCGACTGTTAGTTCATAATAAACACGGGCTGCATACGAAATTTTTTTTTATAATAAATTCTTTCAAAAATTAAACTATATCATTAGTTAACAAGTGAATACAAGGTTTTGGTTTGGGACATATGAAACTTTGGTTCCAACATAAATAACGACGAACCAAAACGAAGTAGGAGTAAACATTATCACATTTCTTTATTTACATAAAAGAGCTACGCATCTATCATAGTAGTAAGAATCCAAATTGTTTACGCACTTTGCTACTAACAAACCTATATAAGTAAAATTAATATAGTATGTGATAAAAAGTGTGAACACGGAACCCTTTCGGTAGTAAATGTGTACAGAGGCAATTTGTCAGACGAGCAGCGGCGGTGATTATCCGGCCGTCTGTTTGTCGAGGAACTGGACTTGCTCGTTTTCGAGCAGTCGTTATATTTGACGATGCCACTGTATCTAGGCGAGGATCTTTTAAAGATTGGAATTTATGATATGAACACATTTCGTTAGCCTATATGATGTTAAAATATTAAACCTAGACCGCTCTAAGTTAAACGTGGAATTTACATCTTACTATCTTATTTCTTCCTTATATTATAAATGCCAATGTTTGGATGGATGGACGAATGGCTGAATTGGTTGACTGATGTTTGTCAGAAGATATCTCTAGAACGGCTGAATGGATCTCGCTGAAATTTGACGTAGATGTAGAACATAGCATGGAAAAACAGCCTACTAGTTAAGTTTTTTTTATTCCGCGCGGACGGAGTCCCGGGCGACAGCTAGTACAATATTAGCATCGTTGAGGTACGATTTCACCACATTTAGCTGTACTATAATTTAACGTTCGCTTCCACTGCGGATCCAATAATCCACCGTGGAGAATTATAACACTTTAGCTTTACTGCAGGCGGCAATTACTGAGTAATGAATTACATCGAAACGTGACGGCTGACTCGAAACGAGCCCGGCCATTCTGCTCGGCTCGTTGGGCTTCATTACGAGTTATACTAGACGATGCGATACAATCGAATTCCAATCGATTCCTATACCTTGCTCCGTCAACTTCTGAATACGAGATATCGAGACAAGCCGAGACACCGATGCGTGAGATTCGTTTGTGAAGATTATCGGATCAGGGGTTTGCGATTGTCTATTTTCATTAGCTATGATTCTACGATTATATCTTTCTTGATTAGTTGGTTCTCTAGTTCAAATGTTATTTCATAGTATTTTTTTGTTTTAAATATCTAATACCAGTAACCATTTACACAACGAACTTAGGTTAAACCTGCGTAGTCCATTACTAACATAAACTGTTAAAACCCAAACCAACAAATAACGAGTGCATTAAATAATTAAGAACTTAGTAAATCATGAACTTAAATATTCATAATGAAATTTGATATGGCATTAAACCCAACAGTTTATTTAAATATTTCTAGTTGTTAGTAAATAAAATTTATAATACATACTCGTAATATTATATTATAACTAGCGGACCCGACAGACGTTGTCCTGTCTACGCGTCTTTAATTTAAATAAATTAATATGAAGTTAATATTTGATGAAAATTGTGAATCTAAACCATTCCCAGATCCCCTTGAACACACACAAAAAATTTCATCAAAATCGGTCCAGTCGTTTGAGAGAAGTTCAGTGACATACACACTGACAGAAGAATTATATATATAAAGATAATAATATAATTCTATATGTGCTATGAATCTAGTCATAGTATAATATATCGCTTTAGAGTACCGTTATATTACAGTATATTATGTTATTTCTGGATACAAGCAGAGTGAATAACATACCAAGTTGAAGTTGCCCCTGGGGGACCTTCAACCAGGTTACAATAAAGAGCTTCAACTCGAAGTGTGTTGCAACCAAGTGAAAGCTTAAGAGAGTTCAACTTTAGTTTAAAGAAATCAGTTACACGCTTTTTGCTATCTGCTACCTTAAGTGTGGTATAGACCTAAAGACAAATTAAAAAAATAACTTTTTTTTTATTTTATTCATCATATTGAACGATTAGACAACCTTCAAATCGTTCTTATCTTTAATCATGACTGTTTTTGTTCTAGTCTAGTTTGGTAAAGTCGTTAAAAATTGTATGCACTTCCAAATGTCAAATAACGACTATCAGGTATGCAGGCGTTGCATACTGAAGTAGATAATACATTTATGGTTATAAGTTCACAGTAATTCCGCTTAGCAAAGTTCTTTTTTATTCGTTTTCTAGTCTCGTGGAATGAATCCCCGCCCGCATGTCGATTCCTTTTTTTTTACCCATCCTCAAGCTTTATACTGATGAGTAGAAAATTGCTTTAGACCCGTTGTAAGAGGAAAGTCTTATGGAATATGTAATTTTGCATAGATACGCCCTTTTATGTAAAATTCAATAATAAACTTATCTTTATAGAATAAAAAAAATGTCGCGTCTTTTTCATGTCGTATCTACCTGTGATTCATTCGATATTTAAATCGAAAGTTTATTCGTTATAATAAAAATAAATCAGTAAAGAATCGAAACAGCAACAAGATGAAGACGTTTTAAATTCCTGAGTGTGACCGTTGCCTTGTATGAAAAAAAACAATAAATCATACATTCTCGATGTACCATCCCAGTCTCAAGTATAATTGAAAATAAACTTTGTTCGTGAAGGATTTAGGTTTAAATTTGTGTGTCGTGTTTTCAGCCTTAATATGCCGATATAGGATGCGTCATTCGAGATGAGAATGTACTGTAATAACGCATCAAGGACATCAGGAATTGTTTTCGTTTGATTCGCGGCCGCTTTATTGTTGAAGGCAACCTTTTTGTATGCAAACAAAAAGCAAACACTGATGATATATTCAATCGAGGATTTATCGCTCAATTAAAGTTGAATGAATTTAACGAGGGAATTGACAAAGGACTATGCGTTTTCTTTTAAATATAAAAGTGAAAGATAAGTGTTTATTGCACTGATTTGCTTCCATTTTTTTACCATTTCAACTAAGCTCTATGCTTGTGCTAGGACATGGTTAATAACAATAGTCGAATGGCGGGATTCGAACCCCCGACCTCGTGATCGGAAAACCGTACCCTTAACCAATATGAGTTGATAGCCTAATAGTTCTTGTTTATATGCTGTATAAAACTTTTTAACTGGCCAAACTATTTGTCGTAAAACATCACACAAAAAGAAACAAAAAACTTAAGTAAAATCCGAATTAAAAAATCTCAGTTGCCAATGTTACTCCCAATTAGAAAGGGAGTAAGTAAGTTGGATCACAAAAATTGGTTTCAAAAGTATACTCACGGCATTGTTCGTTTTTAATTAATTTCAATATAAATACATAACAATCGTCTTGACAATTACAATACGTTAGTATTCATATATAACAACAGTTTCTTGTTGTCTTTGAATACTAAATTATGTTATTACAGGCCAACATGATTACTAATATAGACATCGATATGGAGTGTCGACGTATTTGAAATACAGTCTATTAATATGTAAACTTAACTATAGATAAATCACTATTAGCTCTGTGAATTATTGTCACTTGTTGCTTGTCGATAACGTTTCGTATTCAAATAAATAGATAACAAGCAAGAAGTATTGTATTATTTAATCTCACTTCTTGCTGTTAGGAAGAAAATCTGAAAATGTGGCAGTGGATTGAACCAACACTAGCCTTACTAAAATGTCGACGTTTGTGTCCCCTCACTATTCATTCTGACACTGGACTTTGCAACGAAAGCACTTCATTCGCGCCAAAGGATTTTAACTAATAATGTCTAAAATTACTAATACTATAAATGCGAATGTTTAGATGGATGGATGTTTGTTTGAAGATATCTCCAAAACTTTTAAACGAATTTTGATGAAATTTGGCACACATCTAGGACATAGTCTGAAATAACACATAGAGTACTTATTCAGTTTTTTATTCCCGAGAAAACGGAGTCGAGGGCGAGAGCTAGTCGATAATAAAGAAACAAACCATATCTTTGGAATGCTTCACTATAGTAAAATGTAGTTATGTGTATTAGAACTCCCTTCGCTAATATATATCTAAAATATTGATAATTTCTTACAGAGATCGGTATGGGCTTCACGAAGTACCCGGAATCAGTAACCGCGCCGGCAGGTGACGAAGTTGCATTCGAGTGCGCGGTGGAAGTGCCTTGTGAGAGACTTACTTGGAGGTGGAAGCCTGAACACGAGGAGAGCTGGAGAGATGTGGAGGGGACCAGTGATAGTGACAGCCTGTCTACAAGACTGGTCGTAGATGTTAAAGAGGATACACCTAATGCCTTATATCAGGTATGTATCACTAGATATAAGCAATGGGATTAGGTTCATAGGAGGGATTAATAAGTTAGTAAACAAATTGTAAGAATATTCTAGACTTTTTTCATCCGAGCCAGATTTCATGTACTAAGCATGATTTTAATACAGTATTACCGTAAGTTTTCATTGTTGAAATATTTATGTTTAATATTATTGTTTATTCATAGAAAATAAGAGGAATGAAACGTTGTTTTTGTATATGTTTTTCTGTAGTGAAAACCCGCGGTTATAGCTGCAGGGGATAAGATGAGATAAATAGAAGGTCAGGCGATGTGAATCATGTCCGAGACGCAGGTAGAAACCTGTCTTCGTGATCTCTGGAATTTTATAACCGGATCCTTGTTATATTTAGATTATGTAATATTAGTAATTTCATTGAAGATTTCGACGAAGTTATGATAGAGATTTCATTTGTTTTTAACATCATAGATTTATTAAATTAAATTCGTCTTATTATTATTTTTATAGGCCAAGGAAAAATTGTACATAGACACTGGTGTAGTGTTATTTATTTCGCTAAAAAAAAATTATCGATAAAATCCATATTTTACGCGAAGTACAAACTCTTCCGGCGTCTAGGAAATTAAAATGATGCAGTTCTAATAAAAATACGTCAATATACAGGATATTACTTTAGTTAATGTTTTCTTAACGTAAAGCACTTCTCTATGCTAAGCTGCGCTCGGAGAGTGATAACAGAATTAGCTGATATACCAAAAGCACTTTAGACACTTCTATTTTGGTTCAAGACAACACGTCGGTGTACTTGACGTCTACCTTTCTTCTCTTGTTCAAAATCTAATAAAAGACGATGCAAAAATTCACTGTTTATTCAACATGACTTACATAAAATTTATACTTATTAACATATTTTTTTTATAATATTTATTTAGGTATCCATGTGCGATTTCAATAGTCTTCGTACATTCATTCGAGGAGCAGTCAATTTTTTTCCATTTCTTAACGTTCATTGTCGACGATACGTTTAGCAAGGCGATACTATTTTAATATATGCAGCGTACGAGATATCATAATTAATTGTACTTAATGAATTTTGTAATTCCAGTGTGTAGCGTGGTATGGTGCTATCAGCGTGGTATCCATTCCAGCTCGTTTGGCCATCGCGAAGCTGGATTTGAGCAGGAACATCGCAGAGAAAAGAGTGATAGCCGCTCCTTTGCATAATACTGTGGTATTGCATTGTAAAGAGCCGCTCTCTGAACCGCCTGCTGTTTTAAATTGGTGGAAAGAAGACGGAAAGGTGATTTTTAAAATTTCGAATGCCGCACTCATTAGCTTTTAGTGAATTCTTTTAGTGTACATTTCTAATACTGAATTTTCAAACCACTGAACTAGTGACTTAGCAAGGGACGGCAGTTTTAGTTGTGTTTGTTATAAGTGTGTAAAAATACTAGTTTTGGGCCTTAAATATGTTAGTTACTCTGTATGAATGATTGTATATCTATAAGTATACTATATAAATTGGCGATATGATGTTGTTTAATTGATGTACGACAATATCGGTCGAAATAATTCAACACATGATGTCATCTTTTATCGATCGGGTCATTCATTGGAGCACTTAGAGGTGAACATGTGCGTTACTTTTCGAAATGACGTAAATCGCAATTTCGCTTACATTTATTGGACGAAACGATTATTAAGTTAAGAATAAAGTTAAGAAGAGTAGTGTTTTTAAAATATTAGAAAAATGTCAACTTAGACATGACCAATAATATAAGTATGCCTTACGGTTAAGTTAAATCACAGTTTATTTTCCAGACAAAGAAGCAACTGGATACTCCACACGGTGTGTTAGTATTACACAATGTGTCTACAGCTGACAGTGGAGTGTACGGCTGCACGGCCACAAATGAATTGAGCGTGCAGACAATAGATTTGCCTGAAAGGACCTACTTGAAAGTCCAGCACGAAGGGAACGGTCAAGAGAGGTATGTCTTTCTGTCTTCTAAATCAGATCTTGGCAGTCATTTACCCTTAACCGAAATGTCTTATCCGTTTTTCGTGTGTTGAGTACATGACTGATACTTATTTAAAAGTAAAGCAACTTTCTCACATATAGCAGATGTCTATGGGCAACGGTCGTTTCGCTATTTTAACAAGTGATCCTACGTCCATTATAAACCACAATGTGTTTACAGATTTTTAGAGACAGAAGACTATGTCGGCACTAAGGACTCTGAAGGTACACTAACAGTGTCCGTAAAAATTGATGGCGCTTTACGTCTGTGGTGCGGCGCTGTGGGCACTCCACCTCCACGCGTCACCTGGACCAGAGATGGACTCAAACTGTCTAACAGAGATGCGTTGTATATACAGCCGTTTACTGTTCGTGATGAGGTATGTTCCTATAACTTACTTTAATAGTAGATAAAGGTAATAACTTACTACTTGTCCCCAAAACATCAGTTTTCTAGTTTTCATGTTTATTGAGGAAGTCTTATTAACATTGCTCTATTTTAAATTGTAATTTTAATGATCTATTAAAACTAGAGCGACGGTGGCTCAGGGGTTAAGAAGTTAACTTGTAATACGCAGGTCTTGGCTTCGAATCCCGTCATGTACCAATGTGTTTTTCGATTTCTATTAGAACTACTACTTACTTACTAGAAAACATTGTGATGCAACCTGCATATATCTGAGAAGAAATTCAAAGATATGTGTGAAGTGAACCAGCCCGCACTTGGCTAGCGTGGTTGACAATGGCCTAATCACCCCTAGCTTAGGGTAGGCTTTGAGCCTTTCAGTGGGGACTATAGTGAGCTGATGATGATGATTTAAACTTAACTTAAGAGAAGTAATCAGTTAAAATATAATTCCCAGGGTGTTTATTCCTGTTCAGCCAACGGTATTCGGCGGTCGTGGAAAGTGGTAGCATTATTCCCCCCATATTGGGAGGGGACTGCTGATAATGTGAATGCCAGCGAGGGGGGAAGCGCAAGGGTCACTTGTGGCCTGCCGTACGGTCAACCAACACCCACCGTCCATTGGTTGCTCAACGCTGAACTGATGAGAAACGGCAAGGGGATAAAGACCAATGGTGAGCGAATACATATTTATTCCTTCTTTTATGTGTGTTTAATGACAGGAATAGATAAACTCCCTGTAAGTCAGACACTGATCGTGCTAAATTATAAATACAGTGTCACAGTAACTGGCCATATATCTTGTACGTAGAGCAATCGAGATTACGAAAAGGAGAAGATCCCTTTCTTAGTAAATTCGCATTAATATTCTTAATAGAAAGTAATATTGATTTCAAAGAATGAGTTGAATTTAATTATTTTTTCGTATTATGAATTCAATAACGCGTGACCTTGACTCCTCTTGACGTTAAGTAGTGATGTGAGTAAAGATACCATAAAGTTATTGCTTATTCACGTCAGCCAAGTTTCCCCTGATGTTGTAGACACGGACCTGTACATCGAGCACGCGGAGAAGCGGCACGCGGGCATAGTGCAGTGCGTGGCGTGCAACTCGCTCGCCTGTGCTTTCGATGCGGCAATGCTCACCGTCGTGCCAGTACAGATATCTGACCAGGTGATCCATTTTACCAACCATTTAAAGTTTTTTTTACTTCCGGTTACTAATTTAGCTGAAATCTGATGATTAAGCTGGAAGGTGGCCATAGAAACTTCGCAATAAAACGACACAACTTCATCGAATTTGGGCTTCAAACGTCTTGGCCAATTGTTTGCTTTATTAATTTTTAGTTCTTCAAATTAACGGAAATATAATAAAAACTTGTTTTTAAGAAATTTGTTTCTTTTAATTTATAAATTTGTTTATTATTGAAAGTGCGATCATTAAGATGATCGTAAAATTAACATTTGTAAGTTATGTAATGACTCTTGTAACGTTGTTTAGGATTACACAGCGGAGGCCCCTAAAGCACATGTCCCTTCTCAGCCACCGAAACGCCATAATAAGAAAAACCCGAGAAAACATAAAGGTAAATATTACTTCAAATTAAGAAAAAGAATCTCTTGATCCTTCTTGTGAATCATATTATGTTTCTTTCTTTCAAATTCATTAACACAAAGCTAATTAGTATCATTATTAGTGTATTTATTTCGCTGTCCTTTTCTCCTGATTTGAAAATATTGGATTCGAACTTGAAAATGTAAAATTCCGACGTTATAATACGTGATTCTCGTATATGTTTGATTTTATTTAGATAATTTGTTGCAGCTGTAATGATCCCCCCATCGCGTCCCAACGTGACGCGGATGTCTGACGAGAGCGTCATGGTGTCCTGGTCAAATGCTAAAGAGGGATTGCCCATACAGTTCTTCAAGGTAACAATTAATATAAAGTGGGCAGTAAAAAGCTTATAGTTACTAAGGTGGGCAGTACAAAGCGTTTAATTACTAAAGTGGGCAGTACAAAGCGTTTAGTTACTAAAGTGGGCAGCGCAAAGCGTCTAGTTACTAAAGTGGCCAGTACAAAGCGTCTAGTCACTAAAGTGGGCAGCGCAAAGCGTCTAGTTACTAAAGTTGTCAGCGCAAAGCGTCTAGTTACTAAAGTGGGCAGCGCAAAGCGTCTAGTTACTAAAGTGGGCACCGCAAAGCGTCTAGTTACTAAAGTGGGCAGCGCAAAGCGTCTAGTTACTAAAGTGGGCAGCGCAAAGCGTCTAGTTACTAAAGTGGGCAGCGCAAAGCGTCTAGTTACTAAAGAGGGCACCGCAAAGCGTCTAGTTACTAAAGTGGGCAGCGCAAAGCGTCTAGTTACTTAAGTGTGCAGTACAAAGCGTATAATTACCAAGTTATCATTCGTATTTAACAAGATGGCTTAATATCAGTATTATTTGCAATTAAAATGAAATAAAATGCTTGTTTTCATGTGAAAATTATTATTTGAGAATAAAACAAAACATACAAAACAAGTTGTAGTTGTAATGTTAATAACAAGTATGAAACATCTATCCTTGCTTTATTAAAACGACGCCAAGCATCGAAGTTCATTCGTAAATGAAATGTTCCTTAGGTGCAGTACAAGGAAGTGAGCAATTCAAGCAACTCCAGCGGTCAGTGGCACACCGCTAACTACGATATACCCTCATACATACACGCCTTTGAGATCGACGGACTCCTACCTGATAGGTTTTACAAGTAAGTGTTTTTTAATTATTTCGTACTAGAAATTGCCCGCGTCTTTAACTGCGCCGGAACTTAAAAACTCTAGTAATAAATTTATCTTAAGTTACCCAGGGATAGTGTAGCTTCCTAACAGTGATTTTTTTGAAGTCGGTTCAGTAGTTTTGAAGTCTTAATAAACAAAAAACAATCAAATCTTTTCTCTTTATAATATTAGTATAAAACATTATTTGTTATTAAAAACATAACTGTTTATCCTCCGTGATTATGTAGGGGGAGAATTCGAATCGTATATTTACTTGACGAAAATGACTTAAAATTAAAAAAATACACGATTTTTTTCGGCTACCGATACTTCAAAAGCAAATTTATTTGAAGTATTGCTACTTATAATAATATTCTTATACAGGGTGTATTCAAACAATATTTAAAGTAAGCTATGCAGATGCACCAACTGTTTCAAATTTTTACCGACGAAAATATGATATCTCTTAAAAGTTACTCAACTTAAAATTACATTTCGTCTGGAGCTAGTTTTGTTTGCTAGATCAAATACATTTATAAAAATGTCTATAAGTTATTTTTGTATGTAACGAATAAACTCAAAAACTACAGGACCGATTTCAAAAATTGTTTTTCCATTAGTAAGCTACATTATGACTGAGTAACGTACTTTTATTACTAGATTTTTAATACCGCGCAGACAAAGTCGCGGTTAAAGGTTAGTGAAATAACAAAGTTCATTCTTAACCTAAACTCACTTTGCTATGTTCAACTTCAACTTTGATAAAATAGCAATTGCTTTCATAGTCTTGCCCTGCTCGCTTTTGCAGGGACCCTTCCGCGCCCTCTGGTTGTTTTCATAGTGTTTTATATTGTTAGGTTCCGTATAGCGGCAGTATACTCGAACCAGGACAACAAGCTGGGGCGCAGCAGTCCTCGCTTCTACCTGCAGCGCGGCGGACAGAGCCCGCGCGCTCCTGTTCTCACCAAGGCGACCGCCACATCGCCGCATTCTATACAGATAGAATGGACTGTAAGTAATCAGATAATAGACGTCCTCGTCCTTGCTGGATACAACTGGAGTGGTCTCTAAGTACATCAAACAATAGTCGCCCTCTAGTGAATGTATACAAATAGAGTGAACTGTAGTTACATTTGTAAATAAGCGCCCTCTGGTGATTGTATACAACTGGAGTGAAGTGTTCGTATTGGCCTCACAAATAATGACATGATTAGCTGTAAGAAATTTACATTATTCCAGTCCAGCCATGGAATTCAGCGCTGGAATAAAAAAATAAGCCTTACATTAGACCACACGGAATACAGATTTACATTCCGTGCGGTTCTTGCACACATTCATAGGCACATATATTTAATTTTTTAGATTTCCTACTTAAGATAATATTGTTTAGTGGTCGAGTTCGGGCGGCGTGGAGGCGGAGGGTTTCTACGTGTACTACCGCGCGGTGTCGTCAGCGGGCGCGTACGAGAAGGTGTCGGCGAGCGGCGGCGCGCGCGCACTGCGCCTCGACCACCTCGCCCCTGACACCGCATACGAGCTCAAAGTGCAGGCCTACACTGCGCAGGCGCCTTCCGACTTCAGTTCCATACTCGTATGTCACCTCTATAATTAACTGGACATCTATTAACTGCTCTAGAACTTTGTCTTTGTCTTTTGGCAAACGAGCAAGCGGTCACCGGGATTCGCAGAAATAGTGTAGTTTTATCGTCTGAGAAGGGGACGCAAGATAGACAATATTTCCCTTTCTTATGCGTCCTCTCCTTCGTCAAATCCAGTTTTCCTTTCCAACATTTGCTTATAAAAATAGGATAAGGCAAAAAGGACTAAAATTAGGCCTTAGGCACCAATTAAAACATTTTCAGCAATTTTATCGATTTACATATATAACTCTTTTATTATTCTATGTTTTAAGAGGCTTACCTGTTGGGTGCTATTTTATAACGCACGTTTTGCCATTGATTTGTTATCCTCTAGTGTTTTTAATAAAAATACATTAACAATTAATAGTAATAATATCTTTATGTCACCAGGATGCGAAGACAAATAAATCTCTAGTGCCAGTATCCAGTAGTACGGAGGGCGCGGGGGGTGCGGGCGGTGCAGGTGGTGCAGGGGGCGCGGCGGGTGCGGGGGGTGCGGAGCGGGCACCCGCCGCGCTGGTGACGGCGGGGGGCGCGCTGGGCGTGGCCGCCATACTGCTCATACTGCTCGTCACTCTGCTGCTCTGTCGCCGCGCCAAGAGACCCACCAGTCAGTACTATAAAAACAATAAATAAATGATAGTCATACTTTATTACTGACTAGCTGTCGACCGCAACTCCGTCTGCGAGCAATTAAAAAAAATTGCCCTATATGTTCTTCCATATTATTTTCTACATCTGAGCCAAATTTCATCAAGATCTGCTGGGCCGTTCCGGAGATACCTTAAAAGATCCATCCATCCAAACATTCGCATTTATAATATTAGTAAGATATAGTCAAATAACCATTCATGTCCTCATAATCAACTTACATATGTATTGTAATTGCTGAACGTTGAGGTTTTTTAAGAAATTAAGATCACTAAACGATCCAATGAATTCTCGCTACTTGGAACAAATCCACAGTAAATCTTATAAGGTCTTTGTAGCAAAGTACACCGACCGTATTTACCAACCTTTTGACTGCTTATGTTCTGGAATTTTTGTATATTAAGTTTAGTTTTTTTTTATATGTGTTGGTATGTTGTACGTTTTGTTTTAGAGGAGAAGGTGTCAGCTCAGGATACGGGCAGCGGCAACGGCTACGTGCCGGCGAAAGTTCCAATCACAATCACTGCTAACCCTTTGCATGCGGAGGTAAAATATTATTTATTATTTTCCGTCGTTAATTCATATTTCATTTTGGCATTATATTTACTGTTCTCTAATTTTTTTTTAATGCTACACAGAGTGAGGAAAGGTAAAGTTTACTTCGTAAATTACTTTCAATCATCAATTGAAATTGATTTTTCCAAGTTGTAAAGTAGATATTGTATTAAAATAATAATATCTCAATAAAAGTAGTTTTTATTGAGATATTATTTTTTCTCTGTTTGGATAATTATAAGAATTGTCTAAAGTCTTGTTAGAAAGACTAGTGTTGCGCGATTTAGGTATAGTTTGGTTCAAACGCGATAGTAGCGACTCTCACGGGTATATGTTCTTGTTTGACTAAAATTTATATTATTTATAGGGAGGTGAAGCTGGGGTAGAAATGTCATTCCTACACAACAACAACACCGGCAGTAGCGAAGAGACAATATCACATACAAGGAAAAACGGCCCCGCGCGACAATACGTATAGTTATAGACCTTATTATAATACTAATAAAGTCTATATTGCTGTAGACAGTGAATTGTGATACGAACTTATCGCCATGTAACAAACGAACGGATTTACAGTACAAAATATTTATTATTTTAATAGTAAAGTGTATGTGTGATTTGTATGGCTAGATTATAAAGGTGAGTATCCAATGAAATATGTTTTTTGCATTTTGGAAAAGTGTACAGTGTAACATTGCCTTTATCATTTGTGATTACATCCAGTGGAAATGTACGCATCCAGTGGAAGCAAACCTTAATATTTATTAATTAATCTTGTTATTGTACTTAGGTACCTATAGACATTATTTATATAGATTTTTGCAAGTAAATAAATTCCAGCTTGATACCTTCAGGCGTGTTTGAGAAAAAGGGTCTTTACAGACAGACGAACAACAAAGTATATAAGGATCCCTATAAGGATTCCGTATTTTCCTATGATGTACGGAACCCCAAAAAACGTAAAGTACGCAACTTTGCTTGCTTGTAATAAAAATTTTAAGATCTGACTTATAATTAAGGTATTTGTAAGTAAAATATAGAGTAAACGATTTGGCGATGTACTTATATATCTTTATGTTTGTATTTAATTGTATTTTAAGGTTGTGATTGTAATATGCATTTATGTGTGTGTCTGGGAGTTATGTATGTTATTCATGTGAATATAACGAAACGGTACATAAGAAAAAAAAATCCTTACTAATGTTATAAATGCGAATGTTTGGATGGATGAATGTGAAATTTGGCATAGATGTAGAACACCGTCTGGAGGAACACGTAGGCTACTCGCTAAGCTGCTTTTTTCCGCACGGACAGACTCGCGGGCGACAGCTAGTACTTAGATAAAATTCTAATATAAAGTTTTTTTTTGTTAATGAAAATCCATTTATCATCAACTTATACTTCTGAATATATACAAATATGGATATATTTTGTCCAAATATATCAAGTACGATGACAAACATTTGTCAAATATGTCAATAGTTTGTCGTAGCGCTCTACAAACCCTACGCTACGGTTAGTGCTACGGCCATACGAATGTAGCGCCAAGTGAAGAGCTGCCATTAGGCGCACTAAATCTCAGTATATTGCGACAGATTCTGTTACATGCTATTCAATATACCCTAGCTTTATGTTACTGCACATTTATGCACGTTACCATCAATAAATAAAGATAATTTATTATATGAGTAAATAAGCTGTCGCCTGCGAATCCATCCGTGTCAATTAAAAAAAAACTTATTTAGTAGCTTATGAGTTCTTTTAGATTATGTTCTACTATTCCAAATTCGAAGAAAATAAGAGCGTCGGTGGCTCAGGAGTCAAGTACTTGACTTGCAATCTGCAGGTCCTGGGTTCGAATCCCGCCATGTAACATGTGTTTTTCGATTTCCGATTTACATATATACATTTATCCGAAGTTACGGTGAAGGAAAACATCGTGATGCAACCTGCACATATCTGAGAAGTAATTCAAAGATATGTGTGAAGTCAACCAAACCGCACTTGGCCAGCGGAGTTGACTATGGCCTAATCACCCTTAACTTAGGGTAGGCTCCGAGCCCCTCGGTGGGGACATATAGTGAGGTGATGATGATGATGTTTCCAAATTCCAGTGAGATACATTCAGCCTTCCTGGAGATACCTAACAAACATCTATCCATCGATCCATCCAAACATTCCCATTTATAATTAGTAAGATTAGAGCGTTACTTTAAAATGTAAAACCTTATCAAAGGGGTGGGTTAAAGGTTGGAAAAAACATAATTGTTATTAAGATCGTTATTTTTCGATCAAACTTTCTTACATACCGTTCAGTTATTTTATAGTTAAACTGTTGATTGAAAAGTATAATAGTATTATAATTTAACTTTAGACTTAATAATAGTTTGGAGAGTGATTGTATTTTCTCGACTGTTACTATACTTTCTAAGGGACAGCCGTGGGATTTGTATTCTTGTCTCTATTTTGTCAAAGAGAATGTAAGAGACAACGATATATAAAAAAACGTAATATTGGAACGTATTTAAATCTGTCAAATAGTTATATCGTGATAATAGCATTTGTATATTATTTTTTCTGTTAATGCCTTCTTAATAACGATCTACTCAATCATTTCTTATAAGACTGAGATGTTAAAAACATTAAGATTAGTTTATTCTGTATGAAAATATAATATTAACACTAAAAAAATGTTTTATTTGCATCCGCTTCAGCCTACCTAATACTAGCTTTTTTACCCTAATTCCTGTAACTTAGTAATGTATGGTAATCGTTCGTCGCATATTACTCGATTCTGCAGAGATTTGGGGTTATTCGACATTTATAAGAACGAATGAAATGGTAGATCTTTGAACTTTTAAATACATTTTGAAATATCGCAATGTTTTGAGTATTAACATAAGGCTTACATGTATTAAAAATGTTAGGGAAGTTCAAATAAATAAATCATTTTAAATTATATTTCTCCGAAAATTATATACCTCCCATTCTATTATAAGTTGCAAGGAATATTGCAGTGAATTCAACGTAAAGTAAAAAGGAATGAACAAAGTCTGTGAATTGTGTTTTAAATTCATTGTGTCATCTGTCAAGACGTTCTCGGAACGCCGCTAATTTGAGTCTTGTATTGTGTTCTATCTCGACCGCTTTTTACATCATCTAACACAGCGCTCCTCAAACTTGATACTACCCGTATTAAGAAAACTGGAATACCCAGCGTCCTGTAAAAATCCCTGTCAGTGACTCTTATACATAACAACAAGCAACCCCGGGATTTTTACGGCAATATAATTCCCATAATACTAGGTTAGTTTGTTCCTTGGTTATTAATGCATGGTGGATGGCAGTCTTGCCAATTCCCTCCCTCACTCGGACAACTCTCCGCAAGCGATCAGCGCTGTTGGATTATAATACGACGTCTTGTAATGCATTTTAAATTAGATTTTTTACAACTACAGTACAACCTCCGTAATACGATTTCTAAGGTACTGAGCCAACAATGCGTCTTACGCGGGAAAGCGTATTATGCGGGAATGAGGTATGAGACGTGCTCTATATTATTAAATTACTTCGTATTCATGTAATCGTTTCTAATTTCGTATTTATAAGTATTGAACTTTTTATCGATAAACTTTACGTACTTTGTAAAATCGCGTATTCATGAGAAATCGTATTAAAGAGGTTCTACTGTATATTGAAGGAAGTTACATATAAACGAAACTGCAAGTTGAAATCCAATAAAAATAAATATTTTGAAAAATTATGAAAAATTTTTTTTAGAAAACGAGCGGAATTTTGTCACAACCAATTATGACATTTACAATTAAATTGAATTAAATTACCTTCAGTATCTTACTTCAGAAAAGTTGTTTAACAAAATTAAGAATAAAAGTTACTTTGAAACAAACTCACGGAAAATATTACTGAAGTCTTTTACTAAAGTGAAAATTAACTGTGAATTACTTCTGAGGACTTTAACTCGTTATGAGTTAATAAATTCTTTGTATTTGTGTCATTATTTTTAATTTAACTTTTCTTTATTTTACAAAGTAATAATGCAATCGTGAGAATTGATCCAAATTGATAGTTTTGTTATGTATTGCTTACTATTGTATTGTAGTGGTTTAAATAATTTAAAACGATATTATAATCGTTTTAAACGTTACCAAAGTACATAAATTTCGTTTCTTATTATTTCGTTGGTAAGTTTCTTCGTGCAAACGTTAATTTCTGTGAACACATTGTGGAGACAACAATTACAAACAGTTGTTGTTCAAACGTATGACGTCACACGGCCAACTCGCCCCTCTAATAAAGTTTAAAGGAAATTGCTTCGTTAATCCTCGGGCATCTCTACTACGTTCCGCAAACATTTTTAATTGTTAAAACTTTTTAAAAACTTTAACATCGTCGAGATAAAATTGCAGTAGAAAAATTTTATGAGAGAAAAGAAACAAGCTCTCATAAGTTGTCTACTGCGAAAGAAAAAAGGAGCGTCCACGAGCATATTTTTTATTGCTACTGATAAATTTTCATCAATATTCTTAGTCAACTGAAGTACAAGAAGGAATCAATCTCTCCCCTTAATGACGAGTTGTCTTATCCTTGCTTCTGACACTAAAATTACTGTTTCAAACATATTGCTATCTATTTTGTCAAAGATACTGAGAGATAAGATGATATTTTTATGGGAATTTTGGTTTTAAAACCCAAGGATTAATTAATTACGCTAACCCATTGTGGATTGGGTTACACGCATCTTTGAACTTATTCGTAGATATGATCAGGTTGCATCACTATGTTTTCCTTCATCGTAAAAACATCAGAGAGGACCGAAACTGATATTATTTTGGATTAAAAAAACTTTTGCATATTTCTATCTTCTAACAATTTTTTTATATCATAAGGTGGCAAACAAGCGAGCGGCCACCTGAAAACGCTGAAATAGCGAAGTGACCGTTGCCCATAGGCATACGCAATTGCATATGCGTTGCCTATCTTCAATCGACGGAGAAGAGGATGCATAGAAAGAAAAAATATTTTCCCTTTCCATGCATCCTCTCAACCGGAAAGTCCACTACCACTTCCCATCCTTTCCTTATAAGAAAAAGTGTGGGAAGAGAAAGAGAACTGAATTTGGTCACCGGGACGCACACTCATCAGTCGAATCGTGGAATTGTTTCCACTTTACGCCTGTCTTCTGTGTGGTCGTGGTATTTCATCGGGCGAGCCGGGCCAATTCGTGCGAAGATGTTAAAGCGGGCTCTACCACTGTTACTGACATATGATATTGTAACTACTTAAATTTAAAGTTATATAGATTTGTTACTTGTTTTTATTTTTATCAACAAACTTTTATCTTTATAAGTTTACGAATAAGACTTATCCCTGAATTTTACTTTCTTTTCCGTAAATAAAAGTGTATGAAAAAAACAAATCTTAGGTAACAAAAACTTTTCTAGTTAGAAGTTTTAGCCGACAAGTTTCAAAGTTGATTTCCAATGTGGGTAGTATTGTGTTTGACATCTATTTAACACTGTTTTTAGTTCTGTAACAAACTTATAAGAGTTATTCTTTTTCCTTGAAAAAATGTCATTGTTTACTTATAGTCATAAGTTACTATGTCAAGTACTTTTGACAATGTGAAAAAAATGGAAAAACATTTTTGGTAGTATGAACATTTTTCCTGCGTGCAGTTCGTATGTTCAGATAATAAATACTAGCATCGTTTGTAATTTATCTCTTGATGCTACTTGATCTATTTAAACTTACGAGTGTATAATTTAAAAATAAACATTTCTTTGTTTTGAATATACTAAAAAAAGCAGGAGAATTATATTAAATATAGACTATTACCTTTTAATTTTACCTGTCAATTAAAATATATACGGTTC